GTTGTTAATGTGTTCTGTCAGTATGATACATATGTCATAATTAATAAAACACACTCAGCTTCCTCTACTATTGATTATCTCATATTAGCAAGAGGAATATTCTGTCTTTAATATTGGCTTTCAATGCTAGCAGTGTATTTGATTCATCCGGGAAACCTAAAAGAAAGAAAAAACTTGTCTCAGTTCCCATCAAGAATTAAATTAGAATTTCATAGAATGGAATTAAAGCAATGTTCTCTTTTTTTTTCTGTTTCTTCAATTATTTAGAAAACTAAGTTGGATGACTTACTCTTGGAAGAGTAAAGAATATACCAAGCTTCTCCAAGTAGATTAAATTTATTCATCTACTTTAAAATGGTCGCTGAATTCCCACATGCTATGTTTTAAAATAGATATTTCCATAATTTCTTGTGGGAGTTTTGAGACATTAATTTTTCCTGGAAACATTGCTGAATGTTTTTCCTGACTTATACTTATTTTAAAAGTTGGTCTGATCTGTATCTAGAAATAGAAATTTAAGTTCTAGCATGCTCTGGGGAGTATGGTAAATTTATATTGTGCATCCTTAAATTTAGCAAGCCCTCAATTTCCTTGGTGTTTATTAAAAATTAAGACTCTGAAATTTTTTCCCAAATATTCTGATTCAGAGGTTCTTTGGTGGAACCTGTCCATTCTGACATTTTCAGCAGTTTCTAATGGCTCTTCTAATGCAAATAACCAGTAGATTTTATACATCATTTTGATACCAATTCACTGAACAGCCTATAAAATAATAAAAACCTCAAATAACATCACAATAAGGACATCTAATTTTAGTTTCTTAGTGACAGATCATTATGAAAGAAAGATCTCTATATTTTGAAATTTCTTTATATTGCTTCATGTACCAAAACTGAAGAACATTTCAGTCTCAGTTGGAGTGAGGCATTCAAACTTTCTCCGAGGGCTTGGTCAAGAGCTTAAGAGAATTACAACCCATAGAGTTCATGTGTTCATTTCCTGGCTCTATACCCAGTTTTAGCCTGTGAGAGTTCAAGCAGCTGAGTCCCTGCAAACTGCTCAGAGGATCTAGATTGAGCTGCAGATGTCCAGCACTGGTCTGAATCATCTTCTGCTGTTGCAACCATTTGGGGATGATGCCAATTGATGATAAGTCTCTCTACATCCCCCCCTTCCGAAACTCTACTCAAACATTAAAATCTTACTCTCCACACACATTTGTTTTCTCTCATTTTACAATTCTTCTTTTTAATCAAGGTTAAATTTTAAAAATTAGGTTATATATGAAACTTAACTGACAATGAAAATTGTCAAAATTGAGGGAAAATGTTCTTACATCAGCATTTCTACTTTCTTAAAGATAAAATTCTGAATACATTAGTTTTGAAGTCTGTGCTTGTTTGAATGTCAATCAGTTTCATGTGCTGGATTTGTGTGCATAAATTTAAAATGTATAGTTGATTTTTAAAATATTATTAATTCATATTGTTCTGCATGAAATACATATATATGTACTTAAAGGGACAAATAAATATTATTCTATTTGGAAATCAGATAAGCTTGGCAAAACAGTGTTTTCATGCTTTACATATGAGTTAGGATTAAATTGCCTTTAATTATACATATAGGTTCAAAAACTTGAAGCAGAGTGTTTCAAAAAGCAAGTTGGTCACTAAATGAGCCACGGAGAAGCAATTACAGGTGCTTTTATTCAACTCACAGGCTATTTATCAATGCAAATAGGAGCACCTTTAGAGTTTAACTGCATATTAATCATGCAAGTTTTCATCTAATTTGGCAGACAGATCAAGTAAATTTTTAAAAAGCCAAATTAAATAAATCTGCAAGTGGAGTAGTTTACTACAGATTTGGGCAATCTAGACCCTTAGAAATGTGTCATCAGAGCAGAGCTAATAGTAATTATCTACAGTTTGTCCACAAAGTTGCTAATGCTGTGGATGCTACACATATTATTCTAAGTTACACAAAGTGGAAGATCTGTTTCTATTGTTAAAAATGAGATAATTTTCTTTTTTTCAAATAACATATGTGCTTATTTCCAGATATTCTTCATGCTTCTTACCCAAAATGTCTTAATATTATTTAAAAAAAAACTTATTTAAAATGAGAAATTTTTGTGATACCATAGACAGAACTTTTGGAAATAAGTTTATGCAATCTGAAAGAACTTGAAATACTTTTTGACTATTTTCTCAGGAATGTAGGAAATGATTCCTTCTAGCTTTATTTCTTAAAAGTATCACAAGTGCTCTCCATGTCAATTTTTCATCACTGTACATTTTGAAGTTCATAAATTTTGAGACAACAATCTTCTTGGTTTACTGTAGTATAAAAGGATATTCTATTCTACATGAAAAGTCTAAACCAGTGTGTTTAAATCAGTACTAACCTAACAAAACACAAAAACATACATGCCAATGCCTTGAAAACCTGCTTTTAGTTTTCTCAAATGTTTGTTATTTTTATATTTTTGTGAATTTACTTCTCTTTATAGTATTTCTTATAGCAATTCTTATAAAATTTTATTTTATAGCAATTCTTATCTTTATAGTAATCAGTTGAATCTGTGACTCTAATATTAAAAGTGTATGCTAACTGTAAGATTAAGGAAGAAAATCTTTCAACTTCTACTCTACTTCCAAAATATCTTGAATTTTACAGGCCATACACTGTATTCTCTTTTTCCATGTTATTTACTTTGTGAGTGTAACTTTGGAGAACAGAAATATTTCACACACATATCAATGTTCCCTGGGTATCATAACCTTTGAACAAAACTAAGCCATGTGTTATGTTGCCCACTTATAGCATATTACACTATACTTCTCCCAAATCAAAACAATAAGGGGCTGAGATCGTGGAGAGGTGTGGTGTTCCAGTGCCTGCAAATACCAGCTGCTTCAGTTGGTAATCCCTGGTAATGTGCCTGGAAAGGCAGTAAACAATGGCTCAAGTGTTCGGGTCCCTGACCCACGCTGGGGACCTGGTTCAGGCTTGTGACTCCTGGCTTTGGTCTGGCCTAGTGTGGCCCTTACAGACACTGAAGAATGATTAGCAGACGTATATATGTTGCCTCAATTATGACAATTTTCATTGTCAGTTAAGTTTCAAATATAACCTAATTTAAAAATTTAACCTTAATTAAATATAACCTTAATTTTAGAATGACACCTTTCTGTCTCTCTTTCTCTCTTAGAAATCTGTCCTTCAAATAAAAACAAATCTTTAAAAGTGATAACTAACAATCATGATAGGGCCTGGTATGATGAGTTAGCAGCTGAAGTCCTAGCCTTGTATGCACTGGAATCCAATACGTGTGCTGGTGTGTGTCCCAGCTGCTCTGCTTCCCATCCAGCTCCCTGCCTGTGTACTGGAAAGGCGGTAGAGGACAGCCCAAAGCCTTGAAACCCTGCACTCATGTGGGAGACCCAGAGGAAAATCCTGGCTTCTGGCTTTGAATTGGCTGAGCTTTGGCTGCCTTGTTCACTTGGGGACTGAACCAGTGGACAAATCTTTCTTTTTTTATTTCCCTCTCTTTTAAAATCTGTCTTTCCAATAAGAATAAACAAATCTTCCCCAAAAATCACAGTAAGTGTTCTTGTTTGTGACTTTAGGAATTTGAAGTACTTCATTAACCTGTTTTATCATTGTTCATTTATTCACTCATTCATGTATGTAAGAAGAATTTTTTATTAACCACCAACACAAATGTGAAGATAGACAAGCTTTCTGACTTTCACAAGCTATAACAGCAAGAAAGATACATATCTGATAATAATGCAGTATCCTTCAATAAATAATGGAAGAAAAATATTCAGAGAAAATTAAACTTTAGTTTTAATCAAAAGAAATTGATTTCTCCTTTGCTGTTCTTTGAAATTTACTTAGTAAAATATTTTATTAGATTAGTGAAAGTAGATGAATATTGTTTCCATAAACACAGTTTTACAAAATGAATCAAGAACATAATATTCTTTAAAATGATCAGTTTAAAAGAAAAATACTAAATAGAAAAGTTTAAGTGATTTGTATTTAGAATGTATAATTTAAAAAAGAAAGTTTGCCAACAGAACAAGTAAGGATAAATGCATCAGGATTTCTTATGTTTACATTGCATGAAAAGTAAGCCCTGGCTGTGAGGAGGCCAGAGGTTAGCAGCTTCCAGTGTTGTACGACACTGCACAGACCCCTGGACAAACAGCACATCTGTAAGCACCCAGATCTCCCTAGTTCCAGCTGAGACATTCATCTTCAGTTGCTATGGATGATTTCAAATCGCTTCAGGTTTTTGTTTTTTTAACAAGTTTTAATGTTATCACTAATATCACAAAAAATTTAGAAATTTTATTGTGAATGCAACAATCTGCCAGTTTAGAAAGCACAAAAAACACAAAAGCAAAAGAACCCCCCTTTCTTTTGCCTTTCTTTGAAAATTGAATGACGATTAAAGTCCAAACTGAGATGGAAAAACAAAATTTGATTTTTAAAGGTATATAGAATAACTTTATAGTTAGGTAGTATAAATAGAATGTATAGTTATTCATATAGATTTAATAAGTATAGCATATTTACATAGGAACAATTTTAGCAACTTTGTGAGAAAAAGCAAATGCAAATGTAAAATTCAGTGTAATTAAATGTAAAATTAAATGTAAAATTAAACATAAATATAAAATTAAACAAATTTAACATGAAAAAACACACCATTCTTTTAAAATAATTCACTAACACAAAATATTTATATTTCTAGTCTGTTCTTCAAATATGTGTAACATTCATATTGAAACGTGTGATTAATATGCTGGTAGGTAATTCAAAATACTAAAAACAAGACATAATTTAAAAAAATTGAAGTAGCTTAATAAAAGCATGATTTGAACTTAATAAAAGCATGATTTACTTTAAATATTCAATTTATTATGGAAATAATTTTAGCTCATTAACATAATGCTTAGTAATTACATCGATCAATATTTCAGGTCATGACCCTTGCATTGAGAAATCCTTCAAGACTACACTGAATATGATCCAAGAAAATGTGATTTGAGTCTGGAGACAACTGCACATGTAAGTATTTGGAAATCAGATTTTCTCGTAAAATATAATAAAAACTAAAATATCAACAGATTAATTCCTTAATTGCAAACATTTATTATTGTTTTTATTATAATATTATTTTTCATATTTAAAAATAATACAGTATTTTCTGATTTTTTTTGTTTACTTCTTTTTGGGGGCTTATATTTCTTTTAAGATCATCTAATAATAAAAGCTCAGGAGAGTGGATAGAAGAAAATACAATATTAAAAACACTGCTGCAATTAAACAGGAGTGTTACTTCGAGGTGAGTCATTAATGAAAGTGACTAACATCATAGATTTTGTGTGTTAATTAAATGATAGTAATGCATGTATCATGGAAACAGTAAAACATGTGACCACGTGGAACAGACTTGGACATTCTTATACTCACATTAGACACATAATGAAATCATAGCTATTCTCTAGCAGAATTAAATCTATATTAATAGTTACATGGCAAATAGGTAAGCCTGGAATTCTCTTGCCTCCTTTGAATTTTTTTTTAATTACATGTTTAGTTAAATTAATGTATACCTATGGCTATACCATGTCAATTCATATGTAATTAAAAATACTACATAGTAAAAATTAACTAAGAAAATTTAAAAATGGCATGCAAAAGTAGCTTATTCTTGGTTTATGTAGGTAGTAAATCCAGCAGCATTTGTCTCTAAGAGTTAAGAAAACAGTGGGTAACAATTAGAAGGTTTTGTTGTTGCTAACTCAAGATTCTATCTACTGTTGGAATACTTAAATGGAAAGATTTATTGGATAATGTTGATCTCCTGTAATCTCACTTCAGTATTGCACATGACTTGGCAAATTTATATTTTCTAAGTTAGAAAAATCAAATCTCTCTAGTGCTGAATAACTGTGTTGATTATGAGAATATTCTTATGATATGTGGATAAATCTTATGAAATTTTCCAGTACATTTTTCCTGCTTAAATTACTGGAAATGTTTGAACATAAAGATATGATAATAGTTATATAAAACAATCTTTACAACAAACATGTTACCAATTTATATGATTATGTCTATGTGAAAGCCTTTAAAAACTCATTTTATCTTAATTTTGGGAAAGACAAGGAGAATGCTTTTTACCTAATTACTTAAAATATATTGACTATATTAAATGTAAGAATTTAATAAACTGTTTAATACTTTAAATCATGATCTTCATAAATATTAGTAACATATACTACTCTTAATTAAATCCTTAGAGTAAAATATTGCAAAGTTTGAAAGAAGTTTTCTGTTGAGACTCATTTAAATTTATTATATAAGTACTAATGAGTTTTATTTCCTTCATTTCCTATTGCAGATTGACTTATACCGAAAAACATACTTCTTTTTGGCTTTAATAATGGACAAAAAGTGTATTCTGTATTTTCTAATTTTCTTGTCATTTTTAATGGTAAGCATAATTCGTTCTTATTGTTCTCTTACATGATTATTTCTGTTGTCAATTCTAATATATCTATAATTAATAACTTTAACAATGACACAGTTAAAATATTATGTATGTAAATTAACCAATTTTCTATTAAATCAATATAATAATTTCTTCCAGGCATAGAATGATGAAGTAGGGTGGGAGCTGCAGTAAGGAAGATCAGTACACATATGTAAGACACTATAGGAAATAAGTAGCAAAGTTTGAAAAAAAAAAACAGTATGGCTCTAGGGTATAGCAATATGTAGCAGTTGAGTATTTTCAGCCTGACCTATTGATTCTGTTTGAGTCTCCCATTTTGCCAACAGATTGACATAAATTGTTTCAAAGACGACTCATAGCCACTCTTTGTGCTTTAGATCAGCTTCCCCAACCATGCATCCAATGAAGTAGGCACTCATCAGTTTGAAGCCTTTGTGTGTGTAATGGAAATCTAGGGCCGGAGGTTGAAGGCAGACAAAACATGACTAAAAATCAACTGATCTGCTGGAAGATTAATATGTCATTTACATTTAATTTTATTTTCATTTATGAATTGTTTTAGTCATGTATCTCCTGCCTCAAATTAAAACAGTAACTATGCTTTTATCTCATTATATGTATGAGACACTAAGAGGCAGACTCTCATCTACTCTTGACTGGCAAATACTGGTGTTTGTGAGCAAACCTCACAAAGATTCAAACAAATGCAGGAAAAATACAGAAAATCTAAACAAGACAAAAATTACATTTTTTGGTGAGAAAAAAACAATCTAACCTCTAGGAGCAGTGATTGAATTCACAAGAATTCAAGGAGTGGGACTCCCTCTGCCCAGCTCATGCCTTCCAAGGAGCATGCCGGGGATGCCCTCCGCAGGGCCTTTTTATAAATTCCCAACTTCATTACTACGACATAAACATTTGTGACTTTTAAATTCATTCACAAACAGTATTAAATTAGTCAGAATAAAAATGATTTTTTCTATTCTTCAAACTTCCCGAGAAGATCAGGAGTTCCATGATTTAAAAGTATTCATTTTCCAAAGGTTCTAGTTTTTCAACCATTTTTCTAATAGGAAAATTAAATCAAAGAATGAAACGTGTGCTTTTAAAAGGTGGTCAAGTGACAGTGAAACTTGATTGTTGCCACTGGGATAAGAAATATAATTTTTACTTCACTAGGGCCAACTGCTTGCTAGAAATAGAAAATCGAGAATGTGGGGATAGTTCCCGGAGTGAAGGCTCAGTGGCTAAATCCTCACCTAGCAAGCATGGGGATCCCATATGGGTGCTGTTTCCTGTCCAGGCTGCTTCGTTTCCTACCCAGCTCCCTACCTATGGCCTGGGAAAACAGTACAGGATGGGCCCAGCCTTGGGACCCTACACCTGCATGGGAGACCCAGAAGAAGCTCCTGGTTCTGGTTTCAGATCAAGTCATTTCTGGTTGTTGTGGCATCCTGGGCAGTGAACCAGCGGTTGCAAAGTCTTTCTCTCTCTCACTGTCTCTGTAAGTCTGATCTGCTTTTCCAATAAAAAAAAGAAAAAAAGAATGTAGGGGTAAAAAAGGAGTAGAAAGACAACTTTACAAAAATATAATACAAAAATTGAGAAATAGGTGTAAGACTAGGTTTATATAGGTTTCATATTGTGAAGAACATATACATTTATAAGTCATCCAAATCCTCACGGATGTGCATGCAACAAAAATTCTGTAATTTGCCAATGCATAAATGGGTTTACCATGATATTATCAAAATACAGTAATAATAGCAATAATTTTTGATGTTTTCTTTTTTAAAGATTTATTTATTTTTATTGGAAAGGCTGATATACAGAGAGGAGGAGAGACAGAGAGGAAGATCTTCCCTCTGATGGTTCACTCCCTAAGTGGCCACAACAGCTGGAGCTGAGCCAATTCGAAGCCAGGAGCCAGGAGCTTCCTCTGAGTCTCCCATTTGGGTGCAGGGTCCCGAGGCTTTGGACTGTCCCTCCACTGCTGTCCCAGGCCACAAGCAGGGAGCTGGATGGGGAAGTGGGGCTGCCAGGATAAGAACAGGGGCCCCTATGGAATCCCAGCACATTCAAGGCGAGGATTTTAACCGCTATGCTATCGTGCCGGGCCCAATTTGATGTTTTATAATATTACAGATATGCTGCTTTTATTACCCTTATACTACTACATACTATTTTACATAAGAAAGCAAAAATTTATGTGTGGGTGTGATGGGTAGTATGTTGCCTGCATTTAAAGACCAGGTAAAAATTTAGAGAAGACAGTTCTACCTGCATTTCAGGGCAGACAACCTGAATCTAGCTTCCCAAGTCTACTTGTGGTGATGTCTTTATTTCTGGTTGTTTGAAACTGGAAACAGTGGTGACATTTACACCCTGGAAATTGCCAAACTTCAGGAATTTTTTTTCTCCCAAGACAGGTTCTATCACCCAACATTTCACCATACTGGCTGCTTACAAACATGACAGACTGGCTGTGGCAGAGATATTTTCAGAGGTCTAAAATTGTGAATTTTTTTTTAATCCTTTAGATTGTTGTCACTGCAGAATTGCAAGTGAGCCCTGATGATTTGACTCAACTAGGGGTCACCAGAAATAAGATCATGACAGCTCAATATGAATGTTACCAAAAAATTATGCAAGATCCCATTCAACAATCAGAAGGTAATACTAACTATGTGTTCTAAATGCATTTGACATTTTTAAAAGTTGTTTTGTTATGCCATTATGGTCTCCCTATTTCTGTATAAAAAATAGTTGCTAGTTTTTACTACTATATGCAATTTTAATTATTTGTGTATGAGGAATATTTTGTGACAAATACCTTGTATTTATATTGCTTCTTTAATAAAATCGAATAAAAATAAGTATATGGCATGGTGTTTCAGATCACACACACACAGACACACACACACACAAACACTGTGATATGACTAAAATAGCTAATGAATATATATATTTTACCTCACACAGTTAAAATTTTATGGGTGAGCATTTTAAATTCACTGAGAATTTTCAAAAATAGACTTATTAATTATAATTAACATGTTGTGTAATCATTCTCTTGAATTTATTTCTCCCATGTAACTGGAATTTTTTTGTCCTCCAAACAGCTTCCTCAACTCCCCCATCTTTGCCCTATTGCCTGATCTGACAACTTCCACACTGCTGCCTACTTCTATGAGACCAACCCTTTCAGTTTCACATATAAGTGAGATTATTCAGGATTTGCCTTTCTGTGTCTAGCTCATTTATGCCAACATAATGTTCTCCAGATTCGTCTAGGTTGTCACAAATTACAGGATTTCATTCTTTGTGATGGAATAATGGGATATGGGCATCCTAGCCAATATCTTAACCAGTAGACCAAATGCCTGTTCCTCAAAAATCTTTTTGCACCAAAATAACTTACATTTTATTTTAAGTTTCCACAAACTGAATTATACTCATATTTGTATCTGGCAAATTTGTTTTTTTGTGAAAGGGGATGAAAGCTGTTCTTTTCACCCTGAACAACTTTTGGATTCTTAATTGAATGAACCAAGGAAATATTAATTTTTGGAGATATATTGAGATGCTATCAATTTTTAAAAATGTTGAATTCAATTAGAATATGTTTTAATATCCCAGAAAATAAGAGATCATCTCATTTTGACAGTAGGGTTTGAGCTAGTCAGTAATTAAAATATTTATATACATACTCTTTTTTCATTGATTTGGCATCTCATTTTAAGATCTTAGTGCTATTCTTTTATAGCTATTGAATTAACCTCTTTCATATCATCTGGACATATATAAAAGTAGTTTTTGCGTACAATGGGGTGCAATAAGAATACATTCACAAGGGTTTAATAACAAAATAATTCTGTAGTAGTATAAATCAACATCACTGAATAAGTTATTTCTTCCGGAGCTTCATAATGAACTTATTTCTATAAAAGCCTTGTTTCTATTTCTAGAAAGTATCATAATAAATAACTATATATTTTTAAAAAATTTTAAATTTTTATTGGAAAGGCAGATATATAGGAGAGACAGTGAGGAAGATCTGTCCATTGATTCATTCCCAAGTGATCACAAGGGCTGGAGCTGTACCAGTCTGAAGCCAGGAGCCAGGGCTGCACCAATCTGCAGCCTCCTCCAGGTCTCCCACATGGGTGTAGGTACCCAAGGCTTTGGGCCATCCTCAACTGTTTCCCAGGCCACAAGCAGGGAGCTGGATGGAAAGGGTGGCTGCCGAGTTTAGAACCAGCACCCATATGGGATCCAGATTGGGTATAAGGTGAGACTTCAGCTGCTAGGGTCCAAATAACTATATTTTAAAGTCATATTTCCAAAATTAACTTGACTACAAACACTTTATTAATGGAATAACTATCAACTTTTCAGTGAAATGTCAACATAATTGGGAAACATCTAGATCTTGAAATTTATCATGATGCTCATGTTGTACTTAGTTACATAAACCATTTGGGGCTTATATGACATGGACATGTTTGAGAAGCTTTCTGAAAGTATATCAAGAAAATTTTCTCTGATAAACCAAAGATGTATTTAAACCAGTAGTATACCAATGTAAAGTATTTTAATAGCTGTTTAGAAAATTAGAGGAGGGAAAACGGAGATTATGTGAGGTACTTGTCTTGTTTTTATAACACTAGAATTATTTAGACTTTCAGATCATTAGAACTTTTCTACATTCATGAGGGCTAGATCAATTCCAAGATTGCTATGCAAGTCTGTTAAGAATAATAAACATCTCACGCAGCTTTCATGGCTCTGTCTGGAGCTGACAAGTTAGAAAATTGCTTTCTTTGATTATAGGCTGGAATAAAACTGGAACATTTGGTCAGTTCGTTTTTCCATATTGCAATGTAATAGGTTCTCCTCTCATTGAAAAAAAAAAAGCTGAGGTTATTAAACTTTCTGTTGCATTTGTAAAGGAAAAGATAAATGACTAGAATTTGTTGTAAGTATATTCCCAGGTTAGATTACACACTAGATTATTCATTTGTTAAAATTGTAAGATAGGAAATACTGGGGTACTTTTATGCAGAGAAGGACATTTTGTCCAAAGGTAAAGATTTGAAAATAAAACATGTTTTCAGAATCCCATATTGTTTCGAATTTCAAGTGCGAGAACGCTAAGAACTACTTGATAGCTAAGGACAATGAACATACAATACTTGATTTACAGAGTTGGAAATTATATTTAAAACATCTGAATTAGATCTAGACTTTTCACGTATTTAGCTGTTACTAAATTTGTTTAGAAACTAGTTATTCTACTAGTTACTACTTGGGGAATCAAGAAATCAGATGGACTTTATACGACATCTTCATTTTCAGTGGGAAGGTTTTGCTTGCTGTCAGCATGGCACCACCCTTGAGCTCTCCTCTCTGCTTGTGTGACCAGAGGGAGTTACTTATTCTGGTGTTCTCTCCATGCACAGGTGTTTATTGCAACCGCACCTGGGACGGGTGGCTGTGCTGGAATGATGTTGCTGCAGGCACAGAGTCAATGCAGCACTGCCCGGATTACTTCCAGGACTTCGACCCTTCAGGTAAAAGCAGACTTTTGTGCACGAATCTCACTGACATCTTTGTAACGCATTCGAGACTAAGTGTTCCATTTCTTTGTTTTCCTTGTTCATCTTAAAGAAAAAGTTACGAAGATCTGTGACCAAGATGGAAACTGGTTTAGACATCCAGCAAGCAACCGAACGTGGACAAATTACACCCGGTGTAATGTGAACACACATGAGAAAGTGAAGGTATTTCGTGATTATGAATTTACATACACTTTGCATTATTTACTTAAATGGTTGTCCAATATAGTGCTACTGAGGGCTCTGTTGCCAATTCATTATGTTCGTGATTCTGAGATTACACTGATGGAGCAATCCTGTTAGGTAACAGCGTATTTACAAGTCAATGTCTTAGTTCTAATGTCTCCAATTTCCCAAAGAAAACATACCTTGAACGTGTAAGAAAGGGGAAACTTGTCATTTGTGTTGGAATTTCTGCAATTACCTCAGAAACTGTGCTTAAGTAAGCAGAATAAACTCAGCAGGGTTTAACCAGCCCCAACTTTCTGGCAGCAAAAGATTATTGTTAGATCACTTTGACTCATGTTTCCACTTTAAAATTATTTTTATTGTTTATTTAATCGTAGAACGGGACAGACAGGAAAGTGGGAAAGAAAGCAATTGTGTTACCATTCACTGGCTGCCTGAAGCAGCTAGGACTAGTCAGAAACTCAGTCCAGGTCTGTCATGGATGGCCAGAGCCCAAGCGCTGAAGCCATCACCATAGCTGCCCAGAGACTGCTGTGATAGCCAGGTGCCAAATCCAGGGTCTTCAGTCTAGGACAAACACATCTAAAACATGGCTCCTTTGCGATGGACAGTGACTGATTGCTTGCCCTGAATGCCCCGGGATCCCATATGGGCGTCAGTTTGTGTTCCAGCTGTTCTGCTTCCCATTCAGCTCCCTGCTTATGATCCAAATCCTTAAAATCCTGCGCCCATGTGGGAGGCCTGGCGGAAGCTCCTGGCTCCTGGCTTTGAATTAGCTCAGCTCTAGCTATTGTGGCCACTTGGGTAGTAAACCAGCAGACAGGAGATCTTTCTCTATGTATTTTTTTCTCTCTGTAAATCTGCCTTTGCAAAAAAGTAAAATAAATCTTTTTTTTCTTAAAGAACATATTAAACATATGTTTTTCTAAAAAACATGTTAAACAGCAATTTAACCAATAGGCAAATTCCTGCTCCACATTCCCACTTCTCACACATTAAAGTCAAATTGAATTATACTTCTTAACAATAAGGCTTTGACAAAAAGTCCTGCATGTATGTATATATGTGTTTTATAGCCATTGTGTTACATTGATATTCAGCTTTATTTTTGTTTAATATAAGGAATGTTCTTAAGTGATTGGCATAGAGTAAGAATTTGATAAAATGGTCTGAAGAGAACTATAAAGATATGCAATAAAGTGATAGGGTATAGTTAATCAGAATACAGACAAAAAGTGAAAGAAAAAAGTCAAAATAAGGAGAATTTTAAAATACATTTATAAACATGAATCTCATGTAGTTCATAAATAACCATATCGCGATTGGGTTCTGAGCCTCAAATTTGCCAAAGGAAAAACAGAAATTCATTAAAGAAAGCAAGCTTTACTTGGCACTTAAGTCAGACCAAAACAAATGACCAGTATCATTGATTTCAGGCACACAAAATATAAAATACTGGCTTCTTATACAATCAAGATATCAATGAAAGTATAAATTTATAGATTCCAAATATGTCCTCTCATTTCTTAAATGAAAGAAAATATAATTTATGAATTCATAGAAGTTATCTGAAAGATTTGATTCTTTATTCCCGATGTATTCAAGTATTTAAGGTTTTGCATGATAATCATTTTAAGGCTATCAGTTTGCATGTTTTTAAAAAGAGAATTTACTTAAATAAATTTGAGCTTATAAATATTTGGGATTGTAGATACTCAGAGTGTTAATATGATTTGTTATTGCTTTTATTTACTTATAGACTGCACTAAATTTGTTTTACTTGACTATAATTGGACATGGACTATCCATTGCTTCACTGCTTATTTCACTTGGCATATTTTTTTATTTCAAGTAAGTACATAAACTATATTTAAAATGTTACCAATTGTTTCTGGTGAATACAGTGTCCTGGGCATATTTAACTGAAAAGTTGACAAAATATACAAAATATAGAAAATTAATAATGCTTAAAATTAACAAAATATTTTAAAAATTGGAGTAATTGATTTTGATTGAAAAAGCATGTAGTGAGAAACTGATTAAACATTAAGTCTCCAACTTTACAAAATTAGTAGCAATCTAAGAAACAAGTCATAAAAAGTTGGGTAACTTTTGATAACTAATACATATGATATCATCTTAAATGACTAACTTAATCAGTTTTAATCCTATTTGCATGCACATTACAGAAACTGGAGTTTTGTATGAGTACCAGCAATGGTATCTCATATAATTATCCAAAATGTAATATGAACAAATTGTAGTTACAGGTACTTTTGTTTGTTTTTGGGGTTTGTATGTGTTTCATTTAAAAGGTTAAATTCTACTTTGAAGTTTATTTGTAATCTACTCCTTTTGTGGGAATGGGGAATGATGGCTCTAATTTTTAGATCAAATAATCAACAGGAAACTTATAAATTTATACAAAGGTAAATTTCAAAACATATATGCATTATGTATATCTTAACTGGGTTTTTATAATTTTGATCACTACTAGCAATTATAAAATACATTATGACAACAGCAAATATCTATATTATTGTATTTCCGTAATTGTCATTGTTGTCTAATAATTTAAAATTATCTGTTAAAAGGAGAGAAAACAAAAAGATTAAAAACATTAATAATTATTATTTAATTTGAATGTAGCTAATGGTAAGTTTTCTGGGTTTTTGTCTAAATTTTTGTTTTAACATGAGGAAAAATAAGTTTATGCATTGGTATAAAATCAATCCTCCACTCCACTAATGACATAATTTATAAATCACAAGGGTTTGAACATTGCCTATCATTCTTCTTGGGAAAGTATTTGCAAATTTCAAATCTTTTGATTATTTAAAGAAAAATGTGATTACTAATTAACAGAAACTAATTAAATTTACAATATCTTGTAAGAATAGAAAAAAATAAAGCATGTTACTAACTTTTAAGGAGATTATATTTGAATAGTTATAATTAATACAACCTATTTAGCAATTTCTCATATTTTCCCAGTTTTATTTCATATTGGCTTGTTTTTATAGTTTTGTTTGTATAGTTAAACTACTTTTATAACTTAATGTTCTGTAATTACCGCTTTATATGACACAAAAGTTTTTTAAAACAGCCATTAAGTTGTAAATAATATTTTACTTCATGGGTTTACAATGTTGTACTGAGTGACTCCTCTAGTTTGGAACACTGGCATGCTTCGTGTTTTTCTATTAATAAAAAACACTGCAATGGAGATTTTCAGTTAAAACTTCTCCCATATTTTACAATATTTTCTTAGGCTACCGTCCCAGAATCTTGTGATTTCTTGGTAAACAGATATATATCTTTTGATAGTTTTTGAAACATGTCAATTTAAAAATATCTTAAAATGTATGTTCAAAATAATTTTGTAAATATCTACTTCTTTCCTGATGCTGGTTTTCTGTGAGAAGGACCCATCTTCAAGAGTGATACTTTTTGAAATCCAGTGGCAATAACCAGACTATTAGGAAAAAAATCTCTGATCTTTTCCATTTCTTACCCACCATTTCCCCTACGCCCTGCAAATTTAACTCGTTAGAATCCCTCCAGCCTATCTAATTTGCCTCAACTCTATTATTATCACCACCAGGCTTATGGAGTAAACTGACTTTTCCTTTTCATTCTGTTCAACCAAGGCAGCCAGACTATGTCCAAAGATTTATACTAGATATATATCAGATTTTGTCATTGTTTCGAATTTTAGAGTTTCAATTTTAAGTAACATAAAATCAGGGCTGGCATTGTAGTACAATGAGTTGAGCCTCTGCCTGTGACTTGGGTATCTCATACGTATACAGGTGCGGGTCCTGGCTGCAACACATACAGTTCCCCTCTCTGCTACTGGACATGGGAAAGCAGTTCAGGATAGCCAGTTCTTTAAGCCCTGGCACCACTTGGAAGATTCAGGTAGAGCTCCAGACTCCAGGCTTTGGCCTGACTCAGCCATGCTGCTTTCAGCCATTTGGAGAGTGAATCACTTAGTTTATTCATTTTGTCTTTCTCTCTTTCTTTCTCCATTTCAAAGAAATAAACAAATATTTTTTAAATATACAATTTAAATCATTAGCATGCCCTTACATTTCTTGGACAAGTTTTTAAAGAAGTATTGTGCTCATATGTGGATAATGGAAGTACAATGAACTAGTCATTTTCGAAGCTGAATCAAAATGAAAAGAATCAATATCTAATGTGATAGGTATGCACTTGGCTCTGAATTAAAAATATGCCATATTCAAATCTTCCTATAATAATTATTAAAATGGTAAAATTTTATGGACTTAACTGGATCCTGCTTTTAAACAAGTCCTAATTTGTTTTATATGGGCCATTATGTTTTTTTTCTCTTTAAATTTTAGGATAAAAAGACTTATAAAGTATCTTGCATTTACCATTCAATGAATGGTAAGAGTCAATCATTATTTCACTAGAGTTACATAAATAAATTTAGCTAATAGACTACCTTTCATAGTAACCCAACATAACAGTCATATAATAATAATACAGGGTAAAAACCCAGTGTAATGATGGCCCTTTAAGTGTCATGGGTTTATGAGAATGGAAAGACTTGCCCTGACTCATAGAATCAGAGGAGCCTTGACATGATCATCTATTTTTACAAATAATTCAATAAGTAAAATATCAGCCGATAGAGATTTTAATTTATAAGCAATGAAGAAACAGTCTAGTATGACATTAAATTTACTTTTTAAGAAATTAGTTAGTTTTGATAAGATTAATCCCAATCTGTGTTCTTTCTATTTAGTTTATTTAGTTAGTATCAGTTTTTGGCTCTGCAATCACTCTGTGTTGTTTAGTGTATTAAAGTTGCGGTATGGATATTTAGCCCTGGTAGGTAAATTGATCAAAAGAAATGTGACTTTATGTAGAAGGCAGAACAACAGATAGAAATGTTGGAGAGGGAGGAGAAAAAGAGAGAGAAAGAGGGAGAGAAATATTCATCGACTATTTCACTCTGTAGATGATTGCAACACTTAGGTCTAGGCCAAACTGGAGTCAGGAATCAGGACCATCAGGAATATCTTGTCCCCCCCATGAGTGGAAGGGGCCTAAACTTTGGACTTGGGATATACATGCACGGTGGTCTATTTTTAACAAACGCGTAGACATGGTAGGAGCAGTAGCCTAGTGCCTAAAATCCTCACCTTGCACACCCTGGGATCATATTTGGGCACTGGTTCATATCCCAGCTGCTCCTCTTCCCTTCTAGCTCTCTCTTGTGGCCTGGAAAAATCAGTAGAGAAAGACACAAGACCTTGGGACCCTGCACCCACATGAGGGACCCAGAAAAAGCTCCTTGCTCCTTGCTTCAGATCAGCTTAGCTCCAGCTTTTGTGACAACTTGGGGAGTGAACTAGTGCACAGAAGATCTTTCTCCCTCTCTCCTTTTCTCTGTATATCTGCATTCCCAATATAAACAAACAAACAAACAAAACCAAAAATCAAAACCAGAAAGAACCAGGACACCTGAGAAATGGCCTGTTAGCATTACAAATGGTGGCCTATCTATGCCACTGTGCCACAATACTGGCCCTGAGATTTCTTTTATTACCATAGGAGACTGTATAGCTTATTCTATACCTCCATCTTGGATACTGAAAAAGTTATAAACCGAATTTAGACACTTGAAATAAATACCCCTCAAAACTAGTTTTATATTTTAAGGATTTATTTTACTTAAAAGGCAGATTTTACAGAGAGAGAAGGTGAGAAACAGACAAAGGTAAATCCACTGATTCACTCAGCAGTTGGCCACCATGGCCAGAACTGATCTGATCTGAAGCCAGGAGCTTCTTCCAGAACTCAAGGACTTAAGCCATTTTCCACTGCTTTCCCAGGCAATAAACAGGGAGCTGGTGGGAAGTGGAGCAGCCAGGATGGAATGAGTAACCAAATGGGATGTTAGCAGCATAGCTGGAGGATAAATCTGAAATATACCATGGTGCCATGGTGGCCCCAAATCTATCTATTAAAATGAGAAAGGCCTCTAGGAGCAACGAAGATAATGTTACTCAGCTTTGTTACAGCAGGTAACATCTCTGTTTTATTTCCTTAAACATCCCCTGATGCTCTGCAGACAGCCCTGAACATAGGCACGCAAGAGTTTGGTTTTTGTTTGTTTATTTATTTGTTTTTGGGGAATCAAGACATACTGTAGCTTCGAAGCTTCTTTGTAGGACTGAGTTTTGTGCCCTATCGTGATGTCTTTCCTTTTATCTGACCTTTAGACTAAGACTCCTTAAAATTCTTACCAATAGAGGGATCTGTGTAAAATAAGAAGGGGGAGCTAGATCAAAGGAAGATAAGGGCTACATGGTTCATGAAGCTTGCTCATGTAGATTAGGGCCAAAAGACATCATTAGCTTTATTCCAAGTAATCTGGAAATAATTCTTAGAGGAGCTGACGTTTCACATAAAATCACTGCATATAAGAGAAAATCTACCAACATATCCTTTTTGGCTTGTAACTATGTTCCTGTCACTGTAGTTACCCTAACATAGCCTTTGATAGAGAAAACTACTTGCTCCACCCACCCCAGTCTTTGGTAATTGAGGGTCACTGATGCATGCTAATAAAACCAAAGACTATGAAAAATGTTGATTTAAGGTACTGTTTATTTTTTTTCTTATTTAGAAAGAGGAAAATCTACTCATCCACTTCAAATTAGAAACAGAAGATGAAACATCATTCAATAGATATATTTCAATAGCATTAAATCCAATTCAAAAGAGGCGAGCAAAAGATGGAGAGCAGAAAAGAGAAAGAGAGAGAGAGAGGAAAAATGTAACTTTGAGTTTTGCCAAGCCTTGAGAGGCAA